TCTCTCTCTCTCTCTCTCCCCCCCCTCTCTCTCTTTCCTCTTTCTCTCTTCTCTCTTTCTCTCCTCTTTTTATCTCTTCTCTTTCCTTCTCTCTTCTCTTTCCTTCTCTTTTTCTCTTATTTATTCATTCATTTAGTTAGTTAATTAGGCCTTTTTTTTTTTTTTTGGAGACGGATTCTCTCTGTGTAGCCCTGGCTGTCTTGGAATTTGCTATGTAGATCAGGTTGGCCTTGAACTCAAAGATCTTCACCTGTTTCTGCCTCTCAAGTACTGGGAGTAAAGGTTTGCACCACCACACCTGGCTTTATGTATTAGTCAGTATCTTGCTATATAGCTCAGGCTGGCCTTGAACTGAATGACAATCTTGCCTCAGTCTTCCAAGTGCTGGAATGATAGTTGTCTGCCACCACACCTGGCTGTCCTGGTATCTTGACAAATAATTTTTATTCATTTACGCTTTGAGCACATACATCTATCTGTATTCTCTCTTCAAAGTGTCCAAATTTACAAGGTTAGCTAAGTACACCTAGTTTAGGCAGAAAGTACATTCAGATAATCAGATATTTATTAGTGATTCTTTTCTTGTTAATATTTAGAATTTCATGGTCGAAAGGAAACTATTTGATTATATTTAAGTACCTCCACAACTGTAGGAGAGGAACAATAATTTTCTTCAATTTCTAAGGTTGGAGAGCCAAAATACTTTACAACTTCAGACCGAAGAAAAGGCCAGAGGTGTGAAGTTAAACTCTTCGATGAAACAGAGCCTTCTTTCACAATGACATGGTAATCTCCCACATCTGTCACTAGCTGCAACATCCTGTTCTTATCATTGAGACAGAAAACTTTCATTTTATAAAAAAAAGTTGTATCAAGAGGTATAATAATAAGAGATGAGCAACACTTGAAAAAGCAAACTTCTTTCTTGAAGGCTGACATTTTTCTATATGCAACCTTAGATGGCATAGATTCACTTAGAGGTACTCCACTGTGACAAGTTTTATTATTCTGCTTCATAACAAATAGTGTTGCTTTATTGGGGTCCACTGATGAGGAGCAAGTCAAACTTTTTGAGATTCACTGGTGCCCTGGAGAATAGGCTATACCTAAAGTCTTGAAGATTATGACTCCTGATGCCTCTGCCTGCAAGTGCCATTACCTATCAAGTCCTCTGGGCTATGTATCCGTTTGGGAGACACAACTGTAGTGGTTAGAAGACTTGACTTTGAAGATTGTAGGCCTTGAATCATTCAGTTCTAAGTAACCAAGTGCTGGGCAAATAAAGGACTTGTGGAGTAGATGTTAGAGATTAGTACATGCTGGAAACCACCTTCTTGCATAAGTGTTAAGGATGATGTCTTGGGTCTTGGGGATGACTTGGCCAGTAAAGACACGTTTCAAACAAACCTGGCAACCCAAGTTTGATCCCCAGAATCCACATAAAGGTAGAAGGAGAAAACTGACTCCATGAAGCTGTCCTCTGACCTCCATGAATATGTTGTGGTTTGAGTGTATATGTGTACACACATGTGTTTACATGTGTATATGTGTACACACATGCTTACATGTGTGTACACATATACACATAGTAGTAATAAATTAGAAAATTTAAAGTATGAAGTCTTAACCTCTTTGGTTACCTGGAAATTGTTAACCCCAGTCACTAAGGCAGTTTTCGTTTTTCTGTTTTGGGGGTTCTTTTGAGGGGAGGTGTAAATATGTCACAGCCAGATTTTTCTAATGTATTCACTTTGTTTCACTTCTTTTTAAACAATGCAGTTGGGATAATGAATCCATTCTACTTGCACAGAGCTGGATGCCAAGAGAAACAGGTCTTATAATTTTAAGATTGTGTTGAAAATATTTATCATTTTCATCTCTCATATATTAACTTTAAAAATTTATGGCTTCTCCCCCAAACAGTAATATTTGCCTCAGATGTAAGAATAAATTTTAACAAATTTCAGAACTGCATGGCAGCAACAGTAATCTCAAAAACCATTATCACAACTAATCCAGGTAAAATGCTTTCTGTTTTCCATTCTTTTGGAAGTGGTCATGAACATATGCCAATATTTGTACAATGTATTTAAAAACCAAACTGCAGGCTACATTTTAAAAAGTTTTTCACTTAATGGTAGCTGAGGAGGGTTGAGGTAAGTGGGAAACTCATCCCTAATGATTTCCTCTAACCAGGTCCTGCCTCCTGATAGCCATTTAGCTAGGAGTTCATCAATAGATGAATGCATTAATGAGGTCAGGGCTCTTATGAATTAATCACCTCTCAATAATGTCGCCAGCCTGGGACTAATCATACAACAAATGAAGCTTTGGGGCCATTTTATATCCAAACCACGAAGCAATATTCACCTTTTTGTGGTGAAACACAAAATACATTCTTAGTGCTCTTTAGGAATGCAGCCTGAGGCTCAGCAGTGTAGAGAATGTGCTGCTGAGTTTAGTTCCCAGCACCCACATCAGGCAGCTCACAGCCACCTGCAACTTCCAGGGGTGCGATACCCTTTTCCGACCTCTGTGGGCACCTACACACATCTGCTATACCCTGCACAGACACATATATGTGCATATAATTAAAAATCTTATTTTTTTGAGACAAGGTTTTACTGTGTAGCACTCAATGGCTTGGAACTAACAAAGGTCTGCTGCCTCTGCCTCCCAAGTGCTGGTATTGAAGGTGTGCACAAAGAAATCTTTCTTAAGAATTGAATGTAACATACTATCCTATTATGTGATATTATTATCTATAGACACTATGTTGTACATCACAGTTCTTGAATTTACTTTGTCAAGGATGTAAATTTAGCAGACTATTTATAAAGGTGTTTAAACTTGGCTGGTTGTTTTAAATCAGACATATTTTAATTTCCTGGGCCACACCTACCTACCTTGTAGAAATGGCTTAGATATTTATCACAGATAACATGTTCCCTTTTTCCTTGTGGTTTTCCCACCTTGAGAGTATTCATTAGAGTGGGAGGGAATTCTGTCTTCCCTATGGACAGTCTAAGCCATGTTCTTTAAGGTGTCCATTGATTTGACTGCTGCAGCTCTGTTAGCAATTGCTCCCCTTCAATGTCTAGCAGTTCTAGTAGGACTTTAAAACATTCATTCATTCACCCATTAATTCACAAATACTCACAGAATGCTTTTTATGCACCAACTATATATATAATGTCAGTCCTTTTTAGAACAAGACAGGAGACAGTGGAAGGTCAGATGGATGTAAGGATAGTCATGGTGTTGGACACTGGTATACACGATGAAAGAGCACAACCCTTGTTCATGAGAAATATACCCTCGATTTGAGAGAGAATAGTGGTAGGACATATGTAATGGGGCAGGAGGAAAAAAACTCCTACATCTGCCCGAGGGAGTTAGAGGGGTCTAGGCACTATCAGCACAATAGTGGAATGTTCAAGTGGATTCTGCAACTAAAGAGTTGTGTTGGAGGCTGGGGTCTTGGGACTGATGGGCATTAGAATCCTGTGAAGACCCTTTCAAAATGATTTTCTTGCCTTATGGCAGACCACATAATTACTCCTGAGAAAACTCATATTCTAATTTGAGGGACAAAGCTTTAAAATAACATTAAAGACATTTTTAAAGCTAGCCATGGAGCCAGGCCTGATGCTTCACACCTTTAATTCCAGCATTTGAGAGGCAGAGACAGGCAGCTTTCTGAATTTGAAGCCACAAGTGAGACCCTGTCTTGAAAAAACAAAAACAAAAACAAAACACAAAACCACCACCACCAACAAAAATAAGCTAGCCATTGTCGTGTGTGTGTGTGTGTGTGTGTGTGTGTGTCTATAATACCAACACTTGGAAGTCTGACACATGAAGATTCTGAGTTTGGATCAGCCTGAGCTACCCATATCTTTCTTCAACACAAACAAACAAATACATTTGTGGGTGGTTAAAACAGGGTTTCTTTGTGTAACCTTGACTGTCCTGGAACTCACTCTGTAGACCAGTCTGGCCTCAAACTCATAGAGCTCCACCTGCCTCTGCCTCCCAAGTGCTGGGATTAAAGATTTGCGAACCCACTGCCTGTCTAACAAATACAGTTTTTAAAAGTAAATAAAAAAGAGAAAAGAAAAGAATATAATATTCTGAAAATCTTGCTGGCCATGTCTGGTAACCTGAGTTCATTCCTGGGAACCTGTGTATAAGTAGTAGAGGATTGACTCAGGAAAGTTGTCCTCTAACTTCTACATGAGCATAGTGGCATATGTGTCCCCCATCATGTCACACACACACACACACACACACACACACACACACACACACACTCACACACACACACAATGATAGCAACAAATTAATAAAATTATTTTTTATATTTAATATTATTTTATGTGTGAGTGCTTTGCCTCTGTGTATATATGTGTACCACATGTGTGTCTGTTGCCTTCAGATGCCAGATGATGGCATTGGATCCCCTGGGACTGGAGTTACAGCTGGGGTGAGCCACCACATGGGTTCCAGGAGCCCAACCTGGGTCTGCAAGAGTAGTAAGCTCTCTTAACCACTGAGCCATCTGTTGGGATCTTATAATTATTTTTTAATCAGGAAATGAATAAAATAATGAAAAGGAAAAAGGAACACACAAATAATCGATAATCATAACATCTAGAAGTAGTTTTGCATGTCTATTCCTCCAGATACTTTTATATATTCACATTTTTCAGTTTAAAAGAGTCTGGGTGGATGGGGCTGGAGAGATGGCTCAAAGGTTGAGAGCACTGCTTGTTCTTCCAAAGGTCCTGAGTTCAATTCCCAGCAACCACATGGTGGCTCACAACCATCTGTAGTGAGATCTGGTGCCCTCTTCTGGCCTGCAGGGGTGTGTGCAGACAGAACACTGTATACATAATAAATAAATAAATCTTTAAAAAAAAAAAAAAGAGTCTGGGTGGTGGTGGTTTCTTTAATCCCAGCACTCAAAAGGCAGAGGCAGGCAGATCTCTGTGAGTTCAAAGCAGCCTGGTCTTCAGAGTGAGTTCCAGGACATCCAGGGCTACAACACAAAGAAATCCTGTCTTGAAAAACCAAACAAAACAGAAAAGAGTCTTATACCACATTCTCACTAGCAACAGCCGAAGCATCTTTCCATATTGATTCACTTTGCCTCACAGTGTTAATGGCTTAATGATAAATCTGTTGGATTATGATCTTATGTGGTATCGTGTTTTACACTTAAGATAATTTTAGATGCTTTGTAGTAATTTAAAAGATAATTATTTGGCTTTTTCCTTATTTTGCGTTTTCAATTTAAGATACACCAGAAGCCAATATTCTGCTGAATTATGTAAGAGAAAATAAAGAAACAGATGTGGCTGATGAAATTGACAGTTACTTGAGAGAATCCATAAACCGTAAGTGACCTTCTAGATGAGAAAGAGAGATTGAGAGAGAGATTATTTTTCACTGTTGGGGGTCAAACCAGAACTCAGGCATTCTAAGCAAATGTTGTTTCATTGAATTATATTCCTAGCTCCTCTTTTGATTTGTTTTGCTTTAATTTTTTTTCTGAAACAGGGTCTTTCTATGTAACCCTGGCTGGCCTATAATTAACTCATTATGTATACCAGGCTGATATCTGTCTGCCTCTGTCTCCCTAGTGCTGGGATTAAAAGTGTGAGCCACCACACCTGGCTTTAAATTTTTTTTTAATTTATTTTGTATGAGTTGTTTTTTTTTTTGTTTGTTTGTTTTTTGTTTTTTGTTTTTCGAGACAGGGTTTCTCTGTGTAGCTTTGCGCCTTTTCCTAGAACTCACTTGGTAGCCCAGGCTGGCCTCGAACTCACAGAGATCCGCCTGCCTCTGCCTCCCAAGTGCTGGGATTAAAGGCGTGTGCCACCACCGCCTGGCGCATAGGAATTTTATCTGCATGTATGCATGTGTATCATGTGTAGCTGTGGAATCCGTAAGAGGCTGTTGAATGCCCTAGAACTGGAGTTACAGATAGTTGTGAGCAACCACGTGGGTATCAAGAATTGAACCTAGGTCTTCTGCAAAAGCAGGTAGTGCTCTTAGCCACTGAGTTGTCTCTCTAGCCCTTAATTTTTTAATGGAGGAGCTTATCTTAATATTAGCCAATCTGGGGGCTGAAAAGATGGCTCAGTGGTTGAGAGCACTGATTGTTCTACCAGGTGACCCGGGTTCAGTTCCCAGTACCTACAATGACAGCTAACAACTGTCTGTAACTCCAAGATCTGAGCCCTCATGATCAGGCAGACATACATGCAGGCAGAACACCAATGCAAATAAAATAAAAAAATTAGCCAATCTGAGAGACCTAATGACTCTTTCCTTAGGCAAGTGCACTGCTCACAGAGTTTGGCAGAAAGTATTGTATTCATGAGACCCTGAATTCAACTCATATATGTATATATTTATATATGTAATTCAGATGTTCTGGATGAGTCTCCATGCCCTACTCTTCTTAGCTTTTATTTTGTTTTATTTTTTTGTTTTGAGACAGGGTTTCTCTGTGTAACAGCCCTGGCTGTCCTCGAACTCACTCTGTAGGTCATGCTGTCCTTGAACTCACAGAGATCCTCCTGCCTCTGCCTCATGAGTGCTGGAATTAAAAGTATGCACCATCACTGCCTGGCTTAGCTTTAAATTTTTTTCTTTTTATTTATTCTTCTCTCACACAATACATCCCAACCACAGCCTCCCTCTCTCTAGTCCTCCCTGTCCCCTCACCTTTCCTTCCCCCCAGGTTGACTGCTCCTATGTTTCCTTTCAGAAAAGAGCAGGCTTCCCAGTGATATCAACTGAAAATGGCATACCATGATGCAGTAAGGCTAGGCACAAACCCTCATGTCATATCAAGGCTGGATGAGGCAATCCAGAAGGAGGAAAAGGGTCCCAAAAGAAGGCAAAAGAGTCACACACCTCCACTCTCAGACTTAGGAATCCCACAAACACCCCAAGCTAAACAACCACAGCATGTATGCAAAGGACCTAGTGCAGACCCATGCAGGCTTAAGTCTCTGTGAGCTCCTATGAGCTCTGCTTAGTTTATTCTGTGGGCCATGTTCTCCTGGTCTCCTCAACCCCTCTGGCTCCTACAGTCCTTGTCTCCTCTTCTGCAGGGTTCCCAGAGCTCTGCCTATGGTTTGGGTGTGGGTACTGCATCTGTTCCCATCAGCTGCTGGAAGAAGTCTCTCTGATGATGATTGGGCTAGAGTACTGATCTAGACTACTAGTGTCTGGCATAGCTTCTTTCTTCTTACCATATTAATGCTATCACTTGATAATTAGAAATTCTTCATTCAATAAAGGCTTAATTTCTTATTCTTTTTCTTATTTTGTGACGTTCATATCCACTATATAATCACATTTAAATAGCTAATAGAGTGTTATTCTGTTGTCTTAGCTACTTAAATGTCTTCCATGTGTTTCATTGCTTATGTTGGGACATAAGCCTTTGCCCTATCTGAGAAAATATATAGAAATGTAATATTTGTTTTTATTTTTAGTAAACACAATAGTTGATGTCTATACAGTGGAACAGTTGAAAGTAAAAGCTCTGAGAAATGAAGGAAAAGCTGATCCTTTCTATGGCATCCTCTATGCTTACATTTCTACATTGAACATCGATGATGAAACTACCAAAGTAGTTAGAAATAGATGGTAAGTAGATATTATTTTTTAACAAATTCATGTTTGTAAAAAATAACTATTGTTAACAAAGTTAAGCTCTATAGTAGTTAAAGATATTCTTTGCCTTAACAGTAATTTATGAAAGAAGTTTTTATATAAATAAACCATAATTAAAAGTTTCCATAACAAAAATATATTCTGTGCTGGATAGTTTTATGTCAGCTTGACACAACTAGAGTTATCTGAAAGAAGAGAACCTCAGTTAAGAAAATGTCTCCATATGACCAGGTTCTATCTATCTATCTATCTATCTATCTATCTATCTATCTATCTATCTATCTATCTATCTATCTATCTATCTATCTCTCTATCTCTCTATCTCTCTATCTCTCTCTCTATCTCTCTATCTCTCTATCTCTCTATCTCTCTATCTCTCTATCTCTCTATCTCTCTATCTCTCTATCTCTCTATCTCTCTATCTCTATCTCTATCTCTATCTCTATCTATCTCTCTCGTGTAGACAGGGTCTCAATATGTAGCTCTGACTGTCCTGGAACTCACTCTGTAGACAGGCTGGCCTCAAACTCACAGAGAGCCACCTCAGGCATTTTCTTAATTAGTGATTAGTGTGGGGAGGGCTAGCCCATTGTGGATGGTGCCATCCCTAGGCTAGTGGTCCTAGGTTCTATAAGAAAGCAGGATGAGTAAGCCATGGGGGGTTAAGCCAGTAAGTAGTACTCCTTCATGGCATCTGCATCAGTTCCTGCCTTCAGGTTTTGCCCTGTCTGAGTTCCTGTTCTGGCTTCCTTCAGTGAAGGACTACTGTAGTCAGTCATTTCTCTGTCCTGACCTCCCACTCCCTGTCTCAGTAGCTTCTTCCAAATTATCACACAGAGACTTAGTATTATTTATAAATGTTCAGTGAATAGCTCAGGCTTGGTACTAGCTAACTCTTACGTTTAAATTAACCCATATTTCTATCTATGCTTTGCCACATGGCTTATGGCTTGTTACCTCATTTTCTACATGTCCTGTTTGCTTGGCAGATGGCTGGCATCTCTCCTGACTCTGCCCTTCCTCCTCCCAGAGTCCTCTGTGTCTGGCTGTCTCACCTATATTTCCTGCACAGCTACTGGCCTGTCAGCTTTTTATTAACCAATAAGAGCGATACATATTCACAATGTACAGAAGGATTATTCCACAGCATTTCCCCTTTTTTGTTTAATTAAAAAAGGAAGGTTTTTTAACATAGTAAAATTGTATATATAACTGAACAGTTATTAAGTAAGAATTACAGTTAAAATATCCAGTCCATTTGTATTTGAGAAAATATTATCTATCTTATATTTGTGAGTTCAAAATTTTGTACCTAATTTACCTTTTATTGTAACTAGGGAAAACTATAACTATCTTGTCTTCAGTTCCATCAAAGACCCCAGAAGGGTGAAATGTTACCTAACAACAGGGACATCTCACTGCCTGGACAGTCACTCAAAGTTCCTCTGTAATGTTGGGGCATCTAACTCTGGCCTACAGGCCTAGCATATCTGACAGACTTTCCTGTGAAGCAGGGAGTTCGGGAGGACTGTCCTACCTTGTCTTGGCAAAGTTTGACAATCACCTTTCTTGCAGCTTGCTAGTTCAGTTTGGACAGTATATTGTCAGCAATTGAGACAAGGGCAGTTTCTTGCTTTAATGGCAAGCTTATGCCATAAGAAAAGTAAGCTCCATATGGAGTTTCTTTGATGCCTATCATCTTCTCTGAAGTAGATTGGTGCTTCCAGGAGCAGACATGTCTCACTGTCATGAAAAGTCTTAGGTTATCAAAAATATCAAATGCCATATTCTGTAGGTCTTTGAAGTGTTTGAAGACCATCTATCTAAACATATCTGTGTATGACCTTGAAAACATACCTGACTATTAATTAGACTATTATAGTAACTAACTATAATCTGTATTTCTTAATTATATATTATACTTTTAAATGAGCTGCATAAGCACAATACCCCCCAAAGTAGAAATATACATATAGTATAACAAAATTAATTATAAATTTATATCAATAAACTAAAATACAAAATCCATACTAATGTAAAATATTTAAGATTAATAGTTGTTTTTTGGATTAAAGTAGATTCAATAATCTACCCTTTTATCCTATCATTTCTATATCCTATCCCCCTTTTTCCCTTAGAAAGAGATCTTTGAATCTAACTCCTTTGGTTAGTTTTTTTTTTACTATGACCAAGAATAATTTGTAACCAACCCCCCTAAACAAAGACAAACATCTATAATCCATTTTATGGGAATGGGGGCATAGTTCTCTAGACTGCTTCCTGTTGATTGGGGGTGCTGGTAATCTTTGGGGGACCTTGAGAAAATTCAGGATTATGGTCAAGTCCTGACTGTAGTATTCTTTGAGACTGGATCATCTCAGTCAGCAGCCTTGAAGGTGTTCTGGATGTTGGATCATCTGGGCCATCCGGTTTTTGTTAGTGTCTGGTTTCCTTGCTCTGAAAATACACAAACTTTTAAAGGTAACATACATATTTGTAGTAATACAAGTGTAAACTGTGCATTGTACACAAGTCAGCTAAAGATGATCTTTTGTTATGTGGTTGAGCAGGTAAAATATATGCTACATTTTTGTGGTTTTTGTAGGTTTATTTTTTATGTCTGTAGTCAGGATTTCAGGGGGTCCTCCTCAATCAAACCTTATTTTCCTTAACCTGGAATGAATCCATAGCCTCTCATTTTCTGTGGAAACAAAAACATAACCTCTCTCCCAAAGCGACATATCTTTTGACTTAAATTTTGAAATCAAGATAATTTAAAAATATATACATTGGTTTAATCTAGCAGTTTCTATAATGTAAGGTCTCAGCAGTCAAAAATTTTAAAGATAACACAATCATATACATAATTCAGACTCTCTGTGTATTTTCTATCTTTATGTGGCTTATTTCCTTTATATTACTTTACTCCCCCTTTTAAAGACTTTATTTTATTATTTTCAATATCTATATTTTTAATCTAAGACTGTATATAGTCTTTCTCTTCTCTTTCCCAAGCCTTTTTTTTTTAAATACTATAACCCATTTAGAGGTTTTTTTTCCATCTGAATCTGTCCTTACTGTGTATCTGTAACCTTTTCTGTCTGCATGAGCAAAAAACAACAACAACAAAAACTTGTTGTGTAACTTAGATCATGGTGTTCTTGTGCTGGCTTCTCCCCCTTGGTTCCCTGAGAGTCTAGCCTCATGGTGGAGGTATGTTTACTGCCAGCTCTGGGAGCCATGTTTACTGTCCCAACTCTGGGAAGTTTCTGGGTCCACACTGCTACCACATATTGTGCTGCCCACTGCTCACAAACACCATTTAAGTGTTTGGCAGCAGAGGCTCTCAAAAGAGCTGCCTGTTTTTGCACTAGTACCAAGCCAGGAAGCCCTCTCTTAAAGGAGTTGTACCTCTGCTGACCACCAGCAAACAGAGCCCACCCAAGGAAAAGCAGCTACCAAGAAGCTGTGCTTGATTTTGTTTTTGTGTGTCTATAATCCCTTTTTAAGCTTTGTCAGGTTTTATGCTGGTTTCTGTCCCATGTTGGGCGCCATATTAGTTGGATGTTTCTTTCCTGCCTACCCGTTCCCAAATAACCAACGCAGAGGCTGAATATGAATAAAAATGCTCAGAAGATAGCTCAGGCTTGTTACTAGATAACTCATACACTTAAATTAACCCATAATTCTTATTTATGCTTAGTCACCTAGCTTGGTACCTTTTCTTAGTACAGTATTATCATCTTGCTTCTCTGCATTTGCCGGCGACTCTCTGACTCTGCCCTTCCTCTTCCCAGAATTCTCCTACTTTTGTTCTCTCACTCAGTCTCTTCCTGCCCAGCTATTGGCCAATCAGCTTTTTATTAGCCAATAAGAGTAATACATATTCATAGTGTACAAAAAGATTGTTCCACAGCAGGCTACAACGTAGAAGTGTAAGCTAAATAAAACCTTTTCCTTCCCAATTTCTTCTGTTCATGGTGTTTTGTCACAGTAATAGAAACTGTAAGACAGATTCAATGATGATAACTGACTTTCAGGCCTAGGGTAGAGCTATGTGTGTTAGTACTTGCCTATCACAAGCAAGGCCCTGGGTTCAATTTCCAGCACCACAAAAAAGAAAGAAAAAACCACCTTGTCTTTTAAGGTAAAATAGATCATATTTCTGCTTCATAAAAGATAATATTATTTGAAACATTTTTTTTTCTAGACAGAGTTTCTCTGTGTAGACCTGACTATCCTGGAACTTCCTCTGTAGAACAGGCTGGCCTTGAACTCACAGAGATTCACCTGCTTCTGCCCCTAGAGCACTGGGATTAAAGGCATGTGTCACCACTGACATGCAGTTTGAAACTTTTTTTTTTTTCAAGACAGGGTTGCTCTGTTTAGTCCTTGCTGTCCTGGAACTCATTTTGTAGATCAGGCTGGCCTTGAACTCAGAGATCCTCTTGCCTCTGCTTCCCAAGTACTGGGATTAAAGGCGTGTGCCACCACCACCTGGCTCAGTTTGAAACTTTTAATTGGGATGACTAAACTTGTTTTATAATTTGACAGAAACAGTTTTGCTTGTCATATCTTACAGCAATATGGAGACAGTATTTAATTATTTCAATGCATGACATATCTGACCTCTATCCTCAGTCATTTCCTCACATAAAAATTAAATCCCAAGACATTTACTAATTTTTGACAAACAGTGGTTGGCAAGATATATCTAAAATGTTATTGTGAAAATCTCTTTACAGATTTTTATGGCTGATTTTTTTTATTGAGATTAACTTGAGAGTCACACAAAGTTAAAAATATAGAGACACTCCTTTTATTTCCATTATTCTTATGTTTGGTCTTTTCTTTTCTTTTTTTCTTTTTTTTTTTTTTTGGTTTTTTGAGACAGGGTTTCTCTGTGTAGCTTTGCGCCTCTCCTGGAACTCACTTGGTAGCCCAGGCTGGCCTTGAACTCACAGAGATCCGCCTGCCTCTGCCTCCCGAGTGCTGGGATTAAAGGCTTGTGCCACCACCGCCCGTCTATGTTTGGTCTTTTCATATTGTCCCAGATTTACTGGATGTTTTGTGTTAGGAATTTTTTTAGACTTAACATTTTCTTTGATGAATCTATTTCCTCTAGTTCCTGTTTGTTTACCCAGATTTTCCATCCCCAAGATTCCTTTGGTTTGTATTTTCTTTATTGCTTCTATTTCCATTTTCAGGTCTTGAACAGTTTCCTTCATCTGTTTGTTTTCTTGGCTTTCTTCTAGGGATTTATTGATTTCTTCCATTTTTTGTTTGTGTTTTCTTCAATTTCTTTAAGGGATTTTTTTTCTTTTCCTTTCCTTTTCTTTATTTTTTATTTTTTGTTTTTTTGAGACAGGGTTTCTCTGTGTAGCTTTGTGCCTTTCCTGGAACTCACTCTGTAGCCAAGGCTGGCCTTGAACTCACAGAGATCTGCCTGGCTCTGCCTCTGAGTGCTAGGATTAAAGGTGTGCACCACCACCGCCAGGCTTTTCTTTTTTTTTAAATTAAGAGATTTTCTATTCATTTTACATACCAACCACAGACTCCTCTGTCCTCCCT